TTGAGTTGATTTTTATTTTTGGAATTAATTTTTTATTATTTGTTTTTTAATCAATTTGAAAAAGTGTTGACAGTGTGTTGATCGCGTAGGTTTTTGAGTTGAGTTGAATTAGGTTTGTTTTCGATTTAGATTCCAAATGTATTTTTATTTTTGTTTAGAGAGAGGCCAGTTTGATAGAGTTGATTTTTATTTTTGGAATTGATTTTTCATTCTTTGTTTTTTTGATCAATTTCAGATAGTGTTGACAGTGTAGGTGATTTTGATGTTGCTCTGTTTTTTATCAACATGCTGATGAATTATAGTTGTGTTCTATGTTTTTTCAAACCAGAGAAATTTCATTTTCTGCACTATTGTTTGTGTAGTCTAGAGGAAATTATAAGTGCATATGGGCATATTATTAGAAGTTTGTAATGGCGATAGAATATGAGAAAGTGAATGTAAGTTCATAAATTTCTCTAGACTTGTATTTGTAGTTTAGAGAAAATTGTAAGTTTGTTACTCACTTTCAGTTTGTAGTTCAGGGAAAAGTATTTTTCTGGACTTGTATTCTATGTGATTTTTTTTTCTATAATTGTGTTTAATTGTTAGCAGTAAATTTCTCTGTGATTCATTAAGTTTTTGTGATTTTGTTTTTTATCATCTTGAAGGTGAATATTAGTTTGTAGATGTCTTTGGAGTTTTATTTTAAGTTCAGAGAAAATTATGATTTTTAGAAATTTCTCTGTACATTTATGTTGTTATTGTGAAGTGTTTGTGTGATTTTTTTTGTTGTTTTTTGTTTCAGTTTTAATGGACAGTGCAGTGTTGTTGCTGTGCAAATATGGGAATGATACTATTGTCATTAATGTTTCATGCGAATTGAATTTTGAGGAATTGGTTGGCGGTTTGTGTAAAACATGGAGAATTTGAAACCTGAGACTATGTGTATTTCATATTCTATTTTGGGCCATCCGAATTGTATGGTTCGAAATAATATTGATTTTCTGAATATGTTGAGGGTTGTTTGTGCACGCGGTGTTGATATAGTTGATGTTTCAGTTAGTAGATGTAGTACTTCTGATGAAGAGGATGAAGTGGGGTCTAATTTGGTAGATGTTGTGGATGGTGAGTGTGATAGGCTGGTGGATGTTGAAAGGAATTCACTCTCTAAGTTTTGTTCTCACCAAGAAAAGGTGTTATTGTCGGCTAGTTGGCGGAATAATATTACGAGTGTTGGACAAAAGTTTGAGGGTGGTGTGGTTGAGTTTCGTACTTTTTTATGCAAGTATGCTATTGAGGTTGGTTTTCAGTTTACGTATGTTAAAAATGACAAGCTGAGGGTTACGGCAGAATGTGCATATAAGGAATCAAGGGGGTGTATGTGGCGTGTACATGCTTCTGTTGAAAAAACAAATGGGTTCTTCTACATAAGGACTTTGAACAATGAACATACGTGTGGTGTGGCGGTTCGTACGAGTAAACATTCGAGGATGACTTCCAGCTTGGTTTTTGGGCTGATACTTGAAGAGGTAAGTGCAAAACCTTTAACTCGTCCAGTGGGTGTTGTGAAAGAAATGAAAGACAAGTATGGGGTGTCAATTAGTTATAACTGTGGTTGGTTGAGTGTTGAGAAAGCAAAATGTAGTACATATGGGGATTCTTGTTTGTCATTTGATCAATTACGGTGGTATTTTGATGAGGCATTGAAGAACAATCCAGGGAGTCGTTTTGAGTTAGATTTTGAAGATAACAAGCGTTTCAAAAGAGTGTTTGTGGCTTTTCATGCATGCATTGCTGGTTTCAAATATTGTCGGTCATTGTTTTTTCTTGATGGAACATTTTTGAAAGGACGATACAAAGGAGTTATGCTTGCTGCAACGGGGAAAGATGGGAATGAAGGTAATTGTAAATATATCTATTTTTATCTAAGTATGTGAATTTTCTATACATGTAGGAATTGAGTGAATGTGAATTTTCTCTGGTTTTGGCCACTGTGTGGATTTTCTATTGTTGTGGCCACTGTGAGAATTTTCACTGGATTTTGGTCAGTGTATGAATTTTTTCTGGATGTTGTCATTGTGTGAATTGTATCTGTAGGTGGTCACTAAGTGAATTTTCTCTGTATATTATGATTGTGTGAATTTTCTCTGTAGCTGGTCACTAAGTCAATTTTCTCTGGATGTTGCCAATGTGTGAATTTTCTCTGGATGTTGGCAGTGTCAAACTTCTCTGGTTGTTTATTGTTCTATTTTTCTCTGCATGTGTATATCTAATATGCTTGTTCCTATTTGTTTTGTAGGTTTTTTTCCTGTAGCTTTTGCTGTTGTTGATGCTGAGAATAAAGACAATTGGTGTTGGTTTCTTGAACATTTATGTGGAGTATTGGGATCAGAAAGGGTGATAAGTTTCATATCAGATCGACATTGTGGTATTGTGGAGGGAATTGCTAGGTTTTTCCCTAACTGCTTTCATGGATTTTGTCTGGAACATCTGAAGAGAAATTTGAGGGATAAGTTGTCATGTGGAAACACAAATTTGATTAGGGAGATGATTGTATCGAAGGTTTCAGAATGTGCATATGCTCCAACAAAGGCATCATTTCATTTCAAGTTAAATGAATTAAAAAGTGAGGGAGGAGACATTGTGAGTGTTTTCTTGAGAAGTTTACCATATGAAAATTGGAGTGATGCATATTTTGCGGGGAAACGTTATGGCGAGATGTATTCAAATGTTGCTGAGTCATTCAATTCATGGATACGAGAAGCTCGGCACTTGCCAATAACAAATTTAGTGGACATGATATGGCTGCAAATCATGAATATGAGGTCTGATAGGAGACTGCTCTCTAGTAAATGGAATAAAATTCTGTGTCCTAGTATGGATAGTGTGTTGAAGAAGTCTTTTTTGGATAGGAGGACATGGAATGTGATTTTATCATCTGATAATGTCTTTGAAGTGCATTGTTTTCCTCCGGTTATGGTTGATCTTGGGTTGAGGACTTGTTCATGTCGAAAATGGGAAATAAATGGGTATCCATGTCAACATGTTGTTACTGCAATTTTTAAGAGTGAAAAGAATTTGAATTCATTTGTTGAACCATTTTTTCATGCTGATATGTATCTCAAGCATACTCGTTTTCGATTGGCCCAGTTCCAACTGTTGAAAAACCTGTGTCTAGCATTAAAGATGCTATGATTTTACCTCCATTGAGCAAGAGACCTGCTGGGAGGCCGAAGAAAAACAAAATTGCTTCTAGCGGAGAGTTTAAAAGGGTGATTAAGTGTAGTCGTTATGAGAGTATTGGTCACCATAACAAGAGGACATGCAAGGAACCTTTGTTAAATAGTTGAGGATTATACATTTTATTGATTGAATAATACATTTGATGATTACTTTGTGTATTTTGTTTTGTGAAATGTATTTTTTAGACAGTGTATATAATAATATCAATCAAATTCATCCAGAGAAATTTTTCAATATCAGTTAAAGTGTGCATTGTGTTTGTTGATATATACTATAGGCAGTGGGTTTGTAATACCTGTCAAATTTATCCAGAGAAATTTTCTTATGGTAGAGAAAATTCTGTGTATTGTGTTTTGAAGCTTCATATTCATCCCCATAAATTTGACAATGGCAGACTAAAGTAATGTGTGAATTGTGTTTTTTGAATTTGATAATTGTTTTGTACTAATATAGTGCATTAGAGATTGAATGATCATATAGGCACCTTCTTTGGCGAGATATGAGTTAAATTTCTCTGTGAATTTCTGGTAGCTTCATACCAGTCATTTCAAGAAATGTGCACACTAGACAGAGCATACAAAAAATTATTGTATAACCAAGAAACAAAATTAAGCTCTTTTGAAATTTCTCTGAGTTGGGAATTTCTCTAGACCAGGGAAGAATTTCTCTGGACTCACTTCAACTCAGAAATTTGTGTCAAAGCCAGAGAAATTTTCCTCACCAACACGGAGAAATTCCTCCTTTCCAAATCACTCAACCTAGAGAAATTCATAACTCAGAAATTCCATTTTCTGTCACCATTTGAATCCGTCAATTTCATCCAGAGAAATTTTCCACTATCAGAGAAAACTATCTGGGCATTGTGTTTTGAAATTCATGCAGTGAAATTTTCCAGTGGCAGATAAAATTACTGTGCGCTTTGTGTTTTGTTGAGTTTGATGATTGTTTTGTACCAGCACAAAGTATTATAGATTATATGATCATATAGGCATCCCATTGGGATGATACAAGTTAAATTTCTTTGTGAATTTCTGGTAGTTCATACTAGAGAAATTTTTGCAGACAATTTTCTCTGGCAGACAATTTTCTCTGTGAATGACAATAAATATATATATATATATATTTAACCATCGATAGGTATGAAATTCACATTAGTCGAAATAAAAAAAAATGAAATTTAGATTAGTCAAGAAAGGATATATACATATATGTCAAGGATCATCATTCCTTCAATGTATCAACAAAAAACTGAATGGTTAATACTGTATGGATATATACATATATGTGAGACAATTTTCTCTGTGTGGATATCTACATTGTCTTCCTTTCACTAGTTTCACTATTACATTTGTGGTTCTTCTGGAGGTATTTCAATTGGTTCAGTCCATGACCAGCCAACTTCGGTCACAAATGTCTCTATGAGTTTTGCCCTCATCAATCTTATCTCTTGTGTGGACAATTTGGAGCTGATAGGTTCATGCTTGCTATATTGTTTCATTATATAGCAGACAAAGAGGCCACAATCCAGGCTGCATACAAATTATAGGTATGGTTAGTTTTAAGAAACATGCAAATCAGATTATCTTATTTATAGATGTATGAAACTTACGAATCATTTTCTTGTTGTGGACCACTGTTGACATACTCAAAGTCGTAACTTGTGTTTTGTGAGTCTATTAATTTGAAAGAGGGTTGTGATTGAGTGTCTCTTTCAAGGCAAGTTTTCAAAAAATTCTCCACGTAATCTTGCTGCAAAAAAATAATTTTTAAATAATAGAGAAATTTACGGACAAATCAATGGGATTCTATGAAAATTATCATCACATAAAGCTGATGATGGATCAGAGAAATTTGCACTCGTTACCAATTCTTTGGCATCTTTGACATATTTGTCTTCTACATCATTCCTCCTTGGCCTTAGTGAGTTGTAGAACCTCCATAAATTGTCTTGTTTGTCCAGGACAAGCAAGGTCCAATGATTTCCATGTGTGGACTTCTCATTACCTCCAGTATTTATTGGGAACCTGTAGTTCCTCCATGCTGTTTCAATATGCTTGTCAAATAAGGACACTCGAAAAGTTTGATTTTCTGTCATCTTGATGAAATTCTGTGTTCAGAGAAAATCAAAAAATGGTTTTGTTATGACTAGTGACACAACTGGCTTCAAGAAGTATATTAAGAAGAGAAAGTAGTTAGTAAATTCTAGAGAAAATCAAATAAAATAGTAGTAACATACTAAGCTCATGGATGTGAAAAAAAATGAGGTTGGTTGTTGTCTTTCTCTCATTTGGTCAGCCAAAAGGATCTCTTCATAGCCATCAATGACCTGAAAAATACGATTTATAATTGTAATATTGGTTTATAAAGGCTGATGGAACATTGCAGAGAAATTTTGATGAAAGGGAAAGACTTACATTGTTGGCAATTTCTTTTTGCTTTATTAGGTTTCCAATGTCTTCAAGGGTAATGAGATTCAACTCACTTGTCCAAATTAAAGCGCTACAAGATGAAAAAGAAGGGATTGAATTGTTATTAATGCAATATAAGTTTGTAATTTGTTGTTTGTTATGTTCTATTTTGTTTGTTGTACTTACTCAAGCCCAGACACATTTGATATGTGCTGCAAGATGTCTTTTATATGATCTTTTATCAATCTTGAAATCGGAAAAGTTTGTGGAAAGACCCAAGATTTTCTGATGTTTATAGGTTGAGGCAAGATGTACGCATCAGCATCAAGCACTTCTTTGTCCTTCGTGCTTTGCTCAACTTGCTTTGCAGCTTGTTTTGAAACTCTAGTCACTTTCGCAACTTTGAGATATTGGAATTCTGGATCATGCTGTTTTTTCTTCCTTTGTTTTGCCTTTAAATTTTTTATCATTGACGTCGGATCTTTTTTGACTGTAGACAGTGAAAATATTAGGAAAAGTGAAATTTCTCTTAAGTAATAGATGATATTTTAATATGTAAATTTATTTGATTCAATGTTTTGCAGTTACCATAGACTTTTGTCTTTTGTTTCGGTTGTTCTTTGTGTGCCATTTGTTCTTGTTGGGTTGTTGATTGTTGTTCCACTTGCATTCCAACTATACACAGTGAAAATCAAACAAGCCCCAAAAATGGAATAAGAAAATATACAGAGAAAATGAAATGAGCAGTAGAAATATAACTAATGTGTTCAGAGAAATATAACTTCTAGAGAAAATTACCAATGACAGAGAAAATTATAATAAATAGAAATTTCTCTGAGTTATGTTGACACAAGGACATAACTTTTTGTGGCTCAAGATTTTCACTGACCTTGTGGTTGAAGTTATGTTGGTGTTCGGTATGGTTGTGTTGCTAGTTGGACGGATAGTTCTTGAACTTATTCATGCAATTTAGCATTTTCACTTTCAAGCTCTGAATTTGAACACTTCAACTGTTGAATTGTTTTTGTATCGCCTGCTTTTTCAACCTCCAACATCCTTAGTTTTATTTGGATTGTGCTTTCTTTTTCTTGAAGTTTTGAGTTAAGTGATGTCAGGATTCTTATTGAAATATCCTTTTCAACAAGTAATTCAATCCAATTTCTGTCATCTTCTTTTTTAGATTGAGAAAGTGCCTTCAGTCTTTGACGTAGATCAGCAATTTGGGCATCCTTTGATTCCTCAAATTCTTCAGACTGATGCATTGTTGAGCCACAAATGCTATTACGTTGTTGGTCCATGGGCTCATTATTTTCTTCTTCATCACTTTCATCCTTGTTTTCTTCTTGCTGTTCATCTTCTTCTTCATCTTCTTGTTCACTGTCTTCTTCTTGTTCTTTGTCTTCTACTTCTATTTCTTCACTTTCTTCTTTGGTTTCTTCTTCTCCGCTGCTTGCTTGATATTCTTGTCCATTGCTGGCTTCGTATTCTTCTATGTTGCCTTCTACTTGTTCATTCCCTCCATCTTCAGATGGATCTTGTAAGTTGGCAATGTCAAACTTCTCTGGTTGTTTATTATTCTATTTTTCTCTGCATGTGTATATCTAATATGCTTGTTCCTATTTGTTTTGTAAGTTTTTTTCCTGTAGCTTTTGCTGTTGTTGATGCTAAGAATAAAGACAATTGGTGTTGGTTTCTTGAACATTTATGTGGAGTATTGGGATCAGAAAGGGCATAAATTTCTCTAGACTTGTATTTGTAATTCAGAGAAAATTGTAAGTTTGTTACTCACTTTTAGTTTGTAGTTCAGAGAAAATTATATGTTTGTAGAAGATGAATAGAAGTTTTTGTTTCTCTAAGCAAAAGTTATTTTTTGTGTTTTTTCTTTCAGTTTAGATGGACAATGCAGTGTTTTTTGTTATCTTGAAGGTGTATATAAGTTTGTAAATTTCTCTGAATT